TACTTACTTACTTACTTACTGACATACATACATACATACATACATACATACATACATACATACACACACACACATATGCATACATATTTACATACTTACATACTTACTTACATGCATACACGTATACATACATACATACATACATACATACATACATACATACATACATGCACGTCTGTGTATATCTGTGTGCATGTTTGCATTGCCCCGAAGGCTTTTGGCAGCAAAGGCCTGCCAAGCCCTGGCCGAGAAAGAGATTCAGGCCTTCGGGCAGCTCAAGGAGCAATAGTTCCACTCAGAGCCCGCTCGCTTCTTTTCGAAGTCCTGAAAGATCGCTTTTGACCTCTGGTCTCGGCTCAAAGAGGATGGGGCCTTTGAGTTTTCGTTGTCGATGTCAAGCGAAGCTCTCTCGCCTCTTTCTGGGCCTGGCTCTTGCCACGTTGTGGTTTCGCGTTCCGGCGCCGGCCATGAGCGAGCCCCCTTCTCCTGCCGGGCTCCTCGTGCTTGGCCTCAACCCGGGCTTGCAGACCATTCTCCGCTTGCGTGACCTGGACCTGGGCCAGGAGGGATGTGGGGAGATGATGATGATGATGATGAGAAGTGGGAGGGTGTTTTTCTGAGCACACATCCTCCCATGTCCCTTGAGGTGAACCGGGCAGAGGCCGCTATTACTGGAGTCGGCGGCAAGGGTCAGAACGCCGCCAAAGCTGCCAAGGTTGTTCTGAGGTTACGGCCGGAGAGCTCATGCCCGGTGACTGTTTGCCAGTTTCTTGGTGGGAGCACGGGCGAAGAGGTCAAGCGCCTGCTGTCCCAGCAAGGTATACACGACATTACTACCCAGACAGGCGCGGCAACGAGGCAACTGGTCACTCTGGTCGACTACGCTGCCTCTGGTGGCAACCCGGTGGTCACCGAGCTCGTCGCTCCGTCGCAACCGATTGAGGAGGCCGCTGCACAAGAGCTGTTGGCCAGAATCACCGCAACTGGTATGCAAAAGACGGGGCATGCTGCATGCTTTCAACCTTGAAGCCCAGAAAGCCTGCTCCTCAATCAGAACAATCTGCAGTAGAGTGAGCTTTACGACTTCCTTCAATGAACGCCCAAAACATGATCATGAGGTCTTTAAAAGACGGGCGGGGACTGCTCGAAGCACAGTCGATGTGGTTGTCTGAATCCCTCAACTCTTCTTGCCTAGGATGCCGCTTCGAGCTTCAGGGGCATCCTGCTGATGGGAACCTGGCCGCCGCTCGTCGTACCGTGAGAAATCAGTCGCTGAAGGCGCGCTGGGATTTCTCTCGGCATACCACTTTTCTCGTTCTAGTGATTCTAGTGTCCGGATGCCCGAGCTGTGCTCTGAGGGAAGTGGGGCATACACCTGCGAAGCATGCTCCTCCTCTGGTCATCCAATAACTACGCAACGCCGGAAATCCCTGAATCTCATAACCCAACGCCCTTAAACCCTCCGAAGCTCCGAGAGAGGCCCCTATACTAGGTACTCCCAGCATTTCTACTTGGCATTGCGGAAGTGCTACAGTCTTCTTTCTTTTTGCTTCCTTCACCATGGTAATCGTTTCCATCATCGTCATCTTCGTCACCATGATCATCACAGTAGTTCTGAAACCTTCATTGATCGTGGTGATCAGCTGATGCATCGGTGGAGTGGTTGATTGAAAGAAGACTGAGGAATGGCACCACGTCGCGGCTGTACCAGGCTGCGGCTGAGGCTAAGGCTACAGGTGCCTTGTGCGTTCTGGATGCGGTGAAGCCAGTGCAGGCCCGCAGAGGCACTAGGTGCGTAAGGGGTGTAGGGGGTCTCGGGTACTTGTAGCAGTTCTGGGGTTTAGGATGATCCAGGAGTTTGACAGGTGTCGGGCTTCGATGGGCTTTGCATACTGCAGGGTTCGGTGGCTTAGGCTTGAAGTGGTTTGAGGCACAAGGTTTCGGGGTTTGCAGGATTTTGGGTGTAGAGTTTCTTCAATTTGCAGAGGTTCAGGGTATGGGAAGTTTGCCTGGTGCATTCAGCAGAGGCACAACTACAAGTGTCAAAGTTGAAAGAGGGAAGGTTCGTACTGGGGCGGCAAAGTCTGGTCAGCACTGGACCATTCATCAATGAACCTTCTCTCTGAAGGGCCAACCAAGGCCAAGGCCAACGTACTAACTAGTCCTTGTCACAGGGGAACTGGGGGCTTGCCACTTACGGGTCTGCAAGAAACGTCGTTGTCTTTCCAGGACATTGAAGATCTCCTAGCGAGCGGGAACATCGACATCTACAAGGCTCGCTGAGGGAAGTGTTCATCCTATTTTGTTCCTTGGTCGACCAGCTCTTACCTTTCCAACCACCGAAATCCAACCAAGCTCAAACGCTTCAGGCTCCGCAGGCGCAGCCCAGGAAGCCTCAGCCCAGTTCCCAAGCTTGTTTCAAAAAGGAAAGCTTTCTCGGGGTCCTCCAACCTTTGCCTATGTCCGAAGAAACCTCAGACACAGGAAGTCGAGTTTGGGATGTCGGTCCCAACCTTCCGCTCATTTGCACCACAGGGGTAATTAGAATGGCCTATCTATGGCCGACCTGCAGAAGCCTTCGGTCAAGACTCACTTTGTGTTTCCTCGTTCTGACTTCTTCGGGTGAGTTTGATCTTGCAGTGCTCCTCTTTCGGTCTTGCAAGCAAACTGGATTGGGATCAGACCCCCCCCCGACCATCCATTATCGCATTTCTTCCTCAGACGGGCTGGAATGTCAGGTCAACGCTGTGGAGCTATGTACCTTGATGGGTGCGCAAGGCCTCCGAGAAGGAGAGGTCGAGGAATATCAAGTTCGAGAAGCAGTGTCGAAAATGCTTCTAAGCTCAGCATTAGTGTCATGCAGGCATGCTGCGAATGTGTGAGGCATGGACACGTGTGACTGCGGTGAGGTTTGACAAGTATCCTGGAGTGAAGCATGCGGCCATCACTGTTCCTGGCCTTCAGCTGGCTGATACCACAGTGCCCACCACTGATAGAATGCTACCGTACTGTTGGCCACGTGGGGTGGGGTTGGGGCGATACTTCCTGATACCCTGTGCAATGACGATATCCCTCGACTGGGAAACACTCCAAGAGATCATTACCAGTCTCATCATCCCTGCCATCATAGGTCAGAAGCCGAGCAAGATTCCCCTCCTTGTGATCATATCTATGCTGAATTATACTAACATTTGCGATTGGTCACATGTTTTGTTCTGGTCGCTGTCGGCGGCTTCGACGTGGGTGTCGCCGTCGTGCTGATCGTTTCCAGTATTATCATGCCTGCGGTCATCTTCGCTAGCACGCAAGCGCATCCACACCATCAGCATCAATGTCAGCGTCTGTATGCTGCCCCTGCACCACCACCACTAGCACTAGCACCAGCAAAAGCACCTCAATTGCAGGCTTCTTACGGTTTTGGGCACCGAGATGCCCTGAGCAAGGCTGGTCCCCAGGCCGCATTTCTCTTCTCACGAGATTCGGCGGTGCGCTACGACATTCCCAAAGTTGACTGCGGCCTTTCTGCAAAACGGCGGTTCGGGAGATCTGAGTCTTCGGCCTTGTTCTATTTGTTGGTTCAGGTTTCTCCCCGAGGCTGTTTGAGGTAGTTATTCGGAGAGTAGAAGGGTCCACATGACCCACTCCTCAGAGATCGGGCTGGCGGTTCGGGCTCAGGCTTTGGCTTGGAATGCAGGCCCTGCATGGTCTCTTTGAGGGTACGCTTTGCCGCGCTGGCTGTTGTTGTGAGCACTTTGAAATCTGTGACCTTCGGCGCACCTCGGTCGTTGCCCAGGTCTGAACCCGATTGGTGCTGGAGACACGGTGGCCGGGGTGCTGATGGCTTCCTGGTGCTCAGGACTCGCCCAGGACTTCGAGGAGCCTGTCAGTGGCCTGTCTCCAGTCCTTCGACATCCATACACCCCCGAGATTATCACAGCCAATTTCTGTTAAGCATCCTTTCGCCATCTTTCACCCTTGCCACCTTTACAGCCAAACCTTGAACAGTTGACTGCAAAAGCTTCGCAGGCTGCTGACGCAGTGTCGGAGTTCCGAAATGAGCGAGAAATTAAAGCAGCCTTTGCGTCTGAGCTACCCAGCACCGCAAATGGGACGGTTTCCATGGCAGCACAGAAAGCCTCGAAAAAAACACTTTCCTACCAGTGCACTTCATGACATCCGGGTAGTTCGAGTCGAGAGGAGGCGATGCTGTATGGCTTGGCCTCGGCTACAGCAAAGGCACGGCCGAGGGTCCTGCAGTTTGGCGTTCCCCACCAGGGCTTCTGAGGTAGATTGACGCCATTTTAGGGGTGCTTGCGATGAGCAGGTCAGTGTAGGGCTTGGGTCCCCAGCCTGTCCCCGACCTCTTCCTCGCTTCTCCAGAAGGCCGTAGTAGTGTGGCCGTTTGGGTGAGTCCTGTCAGTGGCACAGAGTGGGCATGCCTCCGGTGTGGCCAGGTGAAAGAGGAAGGTGAAGGTGGAAAGTTCGACATCGACTCTCGGCACCGAGCTGCTGACTGCCCTACTTCAGTTTGTTTCAGTGATTCTTCCTAGTTCTAGCTCGTATCTGTGAGGAGGCAATGCTGACGATCAAGAAGGCGATTTCAATGACACGTGCTTGATATTTGTGAGCTTGGATCGAACACAGCCCCAAGCAAATGCACCGAAATCGCGGAGACGTGTAGGCGAACAGCTGCAAGCAGCTGGCAGGATGCGGACAAAAAAGGTTCCCAGGTGTGTACTGAGTGCAACCCGAACTTGAGAGCGTTGGTATGTCCTATTTGGCGGTGCAGGAGCTACCGGCGGCGCTGGAGTGCAATGCAAGAAGTGAAGAACAGCTCCTCTGTGCTGAGGACACGAGGGTTGCCTCAGCCCACCATACGGCCAAGTTTCCGGAAGCGAGGCAGTTCGTCACAGTTGGCAGATTCGCATTGCATCAGGACTAGCAGTTCAGCACCCTGTACCGTTTTCACTATCCCTGCGCATCGGATTTACCTTGGATGTCTGAGAGCAGGAGCTCGAGCCTGCGGAGACTTGGGAACAGAGTGCATCATCTTTCTCGCCTCAAGCACTGGGTGCCGACCTGGCCAAAGAGGCCCTGCACTTTTAGGGTTTAGGGTTTCTGGATGGTTCAGACAAGTGGTCCTGTAGTCTGGATGTGTGCACTTTCTAGACACTTCTAAGTTCGAAGGTGGCATAGCCGCTTGAGCAGTCATGGTCGCCATCGCAACCGTGCCGCAGGTGGCTGGAGTGTCCTTCATGCAGGAGGGCATCGAGCGGGCAGATGCCCTGCCAAGACATTTGCACAAGGCCTCAGTTCGCGCTTTCCACCAGGGGCGTGCGCAGGGTCAGCGCCCAGACTTGAAAGAACTTCGAGCATCAAACTCTTCTAAACCCTAAGCTATCTGGCATCGCACGCCTCCATCGAAAGGCTTTTGATAAGGGGTACCGTGGGACACGAGTGCTTCCTGCAGAGGGGTTCTGTAGGTAGGGTCATCTGACATGACAAGTGGGCACAACAGCCTTTCCTTTCGTCCTGCTGTGCTGGTATTCGGCGGTAACAGAACGATCAACCAAAACAACTCAACTAACCCAAACTCCAATCAGTTGTTGATGCCAGGTCCTGATGGACTCGATGGTTTCCGTTCCCATGTTTTTGGCGCTGTTCACTTTGGTGATGCTGTGGGCAAGGCCCTGACGTTGGGGTCTAGGATTCATTTAGAGTTTAGAGCTACGGTTTGTGGTTCAAGGTTTGAGGGTCCGGGCGTAGAAAGAGTTGATGACAGTCTTCGGTTGGCTTTTGTTTGCGGCCCCAATTGGCGCTGGTAGCAGCGGTACCTTAGACCAGTACAAACAACAGCTTAAACCTTTTCGGTTTAACATGAGTATACACCTGCTACAGCCCCGGAAGGCATTGTGGCTGTGTGGTCCTGTCCAGGTGTACCGTGGCCTTGACAAACCGTGAGCAGAAAGAGCCCAGCACTCCATCAGCTGTGGATGCTTGGCATTGGCCCTGGAGGGCTCCTGAAGTTTCAGAAAAAAGTGGGCCGATCGATGCGCTCATATTATGTGGTCTCTACGAGGTGCGTCCAAGGGGCGGAGGCGGAGTCGGCGCCTCGTTTCGTTCGGTTCCGATGTCCGTGACTGAGACGTGCTCCCCAGGTGTGATGGGAAGTGGCTGTGTCACGAGCTCATTGCAGCTTGGACTGACAGAGTTGTAAGGAGGCAGAAGGAGGCAGAAGGTCACGGATTCATGCCGAGGTCCCACGGAACAGCCGATGTGCTGTTACCGTGCCTCGCATGCTGAAAGAAGGACGTGCTGTTGCCGTGGCTGGTACTGGTAGCACCCCAGACCTGCACCAACATCGCCGAGCCTTCGCTGCTGCAGGACCTTGGACAGCTGTAGAGCAGCTCTCAGATGATCTGTGTGTGCTTGGGGGCAGGTAAGCTTGGAGATGCCATTTCAGCTACCCGAGCTCACCTGGTTTCTTGCTGTTGCAAGGTGAGTGACAAGATGGGCCAATGCATGTTCAAGGTGTGTACTACAGAGGCTCGATCATATCGTTCAGCATTCGAGCTGATGCATGCAGCTCACCGCAGCGGATGTGCTTGCTGACAGCTGTGTGTCACTGCTCCTGACTTGATCAAGGGTTCGTGTCGTCAGAAACTGACACCTGGTAGAGATTGCTGGACTTCGAAACACTGTAACAGGCCTGTAAAACCGACCCTGAGACAAAAGCCAGACCTGTTTTACCCAAAGGGAGCTGGGGAGCTGGCCCTGGCACTGCAGAGCAGGACAGTCAGAAATCATTGAATTTGTTAGTCAAGGTGTCACCTGTACACCCGGCTCTCAAAATGCATGGTCCTCGCACGATTCTTCACACGGCACCAGCAGACGACGAGGCCGGGACTTTCGTAGAAAAAGGAGTCCGCTGCAGCTTCTGTCCGTTTTGAGGATGCGGTTCTGCTGGCCGTCCATGAGCAGGACATGTGGCATTCACGTGCCTGCCCCCCACCCTGCGAGAGCCCGGAGAGCCCCAAGTCATCTTCAAATCAGGAGCCTTGCGACCTCAGAATCGCAGGAACGAGACCGCATCCTGGATTCTTTCAGCCTAAGCGGAAGGTTCGGGCCAAAAAGCTGGCCCGCTGCGAGTCTTCGGGCATGATTCGCGTCTAGAGCTTTCCGGGTCAGGTCCCGAAGCCCGCAAGCCAAACAGCCTACAGGTACTGACGGGAAGTCCAGGCGGCCATTGCATCCTTTGTCGCTTGCTTTGCTAAGGCCCCGTGACCAGGAACGCTGCTTGCCAGTCCAAGTTCCCAAGGCGGCCATAGCATTCTTGGCCCGGTGCTGAGGGTTTTCTTTGCAGACGACTTTTTGAATAACTCTTCTTCTTGTTGTTTGCGCCCTCCTTGGCAGATACTGCCACTGGCACTTTGGCAGTGTTTTGATTGTTGGTTCCTCGTACTCGCAAGATCTCGCAAGCAAGAGTAAGTGGCCTCTATTCAATTTAGTCATAAACACAAGTCATTATTTTTTTGTAGTTCTATATGTGGAGTTGCACTTGTATTGAGAAGCGCAAGTGCCCTGGACCCTGCTCCCCCGCGAGCCTCTCCCCTTGCCTCCGGTTTGTCGTTGTGCGGCCCGCTTGGGGTTACAGTAGGGTTCGTCTGTGTCCTCCCTGCAGTGGGGGGCCCAGCCCTCTACACGGATTGTTGGGTGGGTGGGTGGGTGGGCGGGTGGGGTTTCAGCTCCCCCTCCTGTGACATTGACAGCTACGATCTCTGTAATCAAGATGCAGAGACGAGGATGCAGCCCAGGATCCATGCATGCATCCTTTATTCGTGCAGCCTTCATGCCTGCACTAAACACGTGCGCATGAGAGCATCCTTGATCAACAAGGCATTCCTCGCCGTTTTCGCAGCGGGTGTGATCCTCGCCATCAAGCTGCGCCCAGCTGGCTACGGCGAAGATACCTTCACAGACCCGTCTCTGAGGTGCCAGCTCTGTGCCGGGGGGTTGGGGGCTGGTCACTGTGGACACTCCAAGGCACTCTTCGAACCTGGACGAGGCGACTGAAGGCATCAACAGGAAGGCACAAGAGCTGCGCTCGTCTTGCCGGTCGCTGCCGTCCTCGCCTTTCGCCCATGACGGCAAGGCGTCACGACCGGAGAATATGTGCAAGAACTGCAAACCGTGTGGGAGTCCAAGCTGCTTCGTGTCTCTGCAGGGCCTTCGGACATGTATCGTCGACATCCGATTCGACAGCAGGTGCTGACCAGCTCAGCTGCGTGCGGATTGTCGACGACTTCTTTCGGAATGCAGCCAAAGGCCAGCTAGGACGGCTTTTGTTTATTCTCTTGCCCTGTCAGAAGCCCCCCGAGTAGACCTCGACTGACTCGCCCAATCTTGTGTCAGGACTCTTCCGGACATACCAGCAATCCTTGTATGCCGGTGATTGTGCGAATTGTGGCCTGGCAGAGCGATCAGGACATGATCAGGACGAGGAGTCTCATGATAGCACTGCATGCTCAATGTGCGCTGCAGAGAACGCTAGCCCGGACGATTGTCGGTGTCTGGACACAGCAGGGAGATCTTGAATCGTCCAAAACTCACAGAAGAATTCGCGAGTTGCAGGAAAGTTGGCTTGCAATTGCGGTAACTTTCCTCTAGACTCTAGACTCGAAAGATAACGAAGGCGACCTCGCTGGAGACTTTGATTCCCTCACCAAGCGCTGTGATGTCTATGACAACGCCACTCAGCATTGTTGCTCTGAGGGCTCTTGGTGGCTTTGGCAGTGTTCCTCATCATGAACACCTGGTGAGAGCGTATGGTCTGTGCAAGCAGGGTGTTATGCAGCTGCTTGAAAAAGTAAGTGTTCGACAAGAACATATGGCATGGATCGAGTAGTAGTAATAAGTCGATACGGTGATATAATATCACTACGATTATTGCTGTCATTGTGACGAATGTGATTTGTCGAGAGACACCCATCTTGCGCTTTTCCTTTCTGTCCAGGTCAGGGATGCAGGTTAAAGGTTGATGCAGCAGGTGTTTGTGGATCGCTGTCAAGTTCCTTATGTCTGTTTAGGGTCCAAAGTTCAGGGGGCATCGCCCATCGCCCAGCTAGATTGCACCTCCATTCCATGAACCGGTACCCAAACTTAGTGACTGCAAGAGCGGAACGGACCACATAGCACAAGGGCTTTTGTTGACGTGCTCTGTGCGAAGACTCTATTGGATCCGTGTCAACATCATCCCAGCTTCAAGCTTGAAACCACCTGATTGGATACCCCCTCTTAGGCAGTTGCAGCGATCTACCTGACGCAGAGGGGGAATTACGAAGCGGCGCAGGGCATACTCAACGTCTTCCTTCGGCTCCCGGATCTGAGATTGAACTGATTTTACAAACATAGTGATGGTTGCAGGAGCACTTTAGCAGCGACAAAAGTGTAACAGCAAGAGTAGCAGCAATGAAACAACCACTGCAGCTGCTACTACCGCAACTGCTACTGCTGCTGCTGCTGCTACTACTACTACTACTACTACTACTCCTACTGCTACTGCTACTGCTACTGCTACTGCTACTGCTACTGCTACTGCTACTGCTACTGCTACTTCTACTATT